TCCAATCATTTCTATAAATATCTCAATTAATTGGGTTGCAAAGGTTGTACAAATGCACAAGGTTGTAAAAGAATTATACCCTATATATATATATATATATATATATATATATACTATAAAGACAAAAGCAACTCATCATGACCATAACCGAAAGCCTTAAAAAACATAAAACATCCATATGTAACCAAACATCCCATATGACACCTACTCATCCTTCTTCTCCACCCCACCTTCCACCCGTCTTCTCTCTCTCAAATCCACCTTGAAATCCCCCCATCCCGCCACCATTGCCACCACCTTCCACCATCGCCACCACCTCTAAAGCCACAAAAAGAAGGTGGGTAATCAACCAAAAGAATTCATCTGTTTTGGTTTTTCTTTCTTTCTTTCTTATGACTCACAAGAATCTCTGTAAACTTGCATCAAAATCTTGATAACCCCACAAGAATCGGGTTGACTCTTTGTTTGGTCCAAATTAAGGATACTCTGTTTTTGGCTGTAATCTTTTTACAGATCGAACAAAGAGAGGTGCCCCAATCAATTAGGGAAGATCAAAATCGATTGAAGTTTGACTTTCATGGAGTCAACGGATTGTGGGAATTTATGCCCTTACGAAAAGGGTACCCAAAAAATCGAAGTTTGTGACCAGCTTTTGAATATGAAATCTGAGAATGTTCATGTGGATATGGATATGGAACCTTTCTCTCATCTCACCACCAAAGATCTCAACTTCAATTCAAGATTTAATGTAAGTTCAGTTTTCATGCTCTGTTTTTTAATGAAGATATAATAATGACCAACTTCTCCTTTCAAGTTTCGACAAGAACAATTCATTACGACAAGGGTATTTTGGTAAAACTACATTATTTTCTTTCGAATCGAGATATATCAAAGTACATTCGATTTGGTTTTGTTGCACACTCTTTCTTGATCTTGTTTGGTTTTTCGTTTAGCTAATGCAAGTTTCTCGTAACCTATCCTATAGTAATAGGGGTATTTTTGTCACTGTACACACTTCGTTAATTTGAGACTTTATCGTATCAAAACAAGGGTATTTTCGTCATTGTACACACTTCGTTAATTTGAGACTTTGTCAATATCAAAACAAGGGTTTTATTAGATTTATCGTATACTTTAAGTTCTTCCTCTTTATAATTTTATCCGTCAAGGATATTTACGTAAAACGATTCAGTTTTACACCGAATAAGATTATACCGGATACTATAATTGGTTTGCTTAAACCACTTTTTAGATTTTGCTTTGTGTTTTCGCTTATGTATTCTAAGTTTCTTATAACTTATCCAGCAGAGAAAAGGGTATTTTCGTCATTCTACACATTTTTGTTAATTTTAAAATTTATTTAATAAAACAAGACTATTTTTATGTTCTCTCTTTTGTTTTGTTGGATTCATCATGTACATTAGTTTTTCCTCCCTTTAATTCCAACTCATTAATACAAGGGTATTTTCGTCATTTTCCATTTTTAGATTATTTCTTATCTTATTAAAACAAGGGTATTCGTGGGAAAAAAATAATATTAATTTGTCTTAAAATCTTTTTTTCCCTAATTTCCTTATTAGTTTTATAATCCTTTTAACAGATTTACTCACCTAAAAGTTAACTAAAACCAGGGTATTTATGTCAAAATACATGTATTTGTTTATTATTAATTTAATATTTTAATCGTTTAAATTATTTTATAAATTATATAACATATCATATTTTGTTTTACTTTCTTGTCAAACGAAGTTTATCGGCTTTTCTCTGCCGTTCAAAACAATAATATTTTTTTTGAAATATATAATATTTATATATGGTAAATGCAACAAATAAACTCATACATCATCTCCATCTTTGGTGAGGTTTGAACTCCTGACTTTCTAGGAAGACAAAGACTACGATACCGCTAGGCCAAAAACCCATTGATATAACAAGAATATTTTTGTCACAACACACATTCAATTTAATCTCTTTTTTGGTTTTTTTTATTATAAATTTCTATGGATTTTATGATATCCAAATTTCACTTTTTTTTACACATATTCCGAGTAAGATTACAAAATTATATTATAAACAATTTAATAGACAAAACTTATCATGAACACCAACCATAAGGGATAATGTCTGATTGGTTTGAGTTTGAGCTCCAAAGGTCAAAAGTCTCTGGAGGTCCCACATTCAAATCCAAGAAGGAATAAAAATCCTCTTGTAGACAGATAGAAATGCGGTGACTCCGGGTTACCCGCAAAGTAGGTGGCCCTCCTAAAATTAGTTGGCTCGCATAGCGGGTTAAATAATATAGACATAAATTAACTGTTTTCTTGAATTTAATTAATTTTTGAGCATGGTTTATTAATTTGGGTGATTATTAATTAGTTGCAAAGGAGTTTGTCAAGAAAAGTGGAAGATAAGAAGATGAGCAATCCAAGGTTTGACAATGAAACAGATGCTATTGCTTCCCATAAAGGTCAAACCCTTTTTCCCTATCTTTATTTATTTTAGAGTAAATTACAAATTTGGCCCTTTTGCGTTTGCCAAAAATATACGTTTCGTTCCTACAGTTTTGAAATTACAAGCTGGCTATAATGGTTTATAAAACGCTCGTATTTGGTCTCTTCTTCTAACGGACATTAAAAAATCCCGTTAAATGAGACATTTTTGTTTTTTTTAGGGTTTTTTGTCTTTTACCCAATCAAAAATCATAGGGACGGAGATCATAAAATCAATTTTAATCATGTGGAAAACAAAAAAAATCGATAAAATGACAAAAATACCCCTCCATTGAACACAAAGTTTTTAATAACCGTTAGAAGGAGGGATCAAACCCAGACATTTTTGCAAATTATGATTATCATCTTGTAATTTCAAAACTATAAAAATGAAAAACTAATTATATAATTTAATTCTTTTTACTCTTATTATTTTTATCTGTCTTTTATGTTAATAATACATTTTTTAACAAAATTTGAAGTATGTATTATTTGCATAGAATTGTGAAAGTATATTAATTATAATGGATAAAAGTTAATATATATTGTTATTATGTGTAGAAAGATATATATTTAAAATATTTTCTTTTTGAAATATATATATATATATATATATATATATATATACGACAAATATAACAAATAAACTCATACACCATCCTAACCTTTGCTGAGGTTTGAGTTCTTGACCTTCGAGTAGGCCAATGACTCACATACTGCTTAGGGTAAAATGGATACTGTGACAGGTTGGATAACATATTGAAATAAGTTTTAGTCAAGATGAGTCGGGTCAAATTAATCAATTAACATTATTTGATAAAATAAATTCACGATATTACAATTACATTATTTCAACTAATTTTTTTTCATGACTTAAGATTTTTTTTCTTGTTGAAGTATATAATACTTATATACGTTAAATAGAACAAATAAACTCACACACCTTCCTCACCATTGATAAATTTTGAACCCTTGACCTGCTAGGAGGCCAAAAACTCACATATCGCTAGGTCAAAAGCCCTTTTAGTTTGATTTAAGATGTTACAAGCTTTTGAATGTAACGAACAAATAATCGATTCCATTTTGGTACAATTTGCTTTTATTATAATATAATATATATATATATATATGGTTGGGTTCACGTGAGACCAGTCTGTTTTCGTGAGACCCGTGAGACCACATTTTTACATGTAACCTTCACAGCAAAAACACTGTGAAAGTTTAAAAAAAGTCGAACATTCACAGCAAAAACACTGTGAAGGTTTTAAAAAGTCACCTTCACAACATTTTGCTGTGAAGTTTCAAGTGTAAAATGTTGGTCTCACGGGTCTCACGAAAACAGGTTGGTCTCACAT